CCAGTGGGGTTTACAGTCTCTAAAAGATACATACCCTGCAATCTGATACCTCAAAATGTTCTTAAATAAATTGAAGCCTGTTTCCAATAGAAATCAACTTAAGAATTTTCTAAAATAACATTTAATTTCCCGATATTAGCGAATCAGTCCGTCTTATTTTGTTCTGTTTGAAGACAATGATGCATTAAATATTCCTGAAACAAGGGAAATTGCTTTCAGAATGAGTGTGATTATCTCATTCCAATGCCAGAATTCTTCTCTCGCTTTCAGAAAAAAAAGGAAAAAGTTCAAGCTGAATGTTAAACTACTTGTTAAAACAAATGTTTTCTGCAGTATATTCAACATTGAACTAGCATTTTAAAACATTGCAACAGTCTAGCCACAAAAGACTAGAGAATATTGCGAGTCATCGATTGGACTACAACACAAATTGCTCTGTTTTATTATCCTGGAAAAGGACATGCCTTGAAATGATGGGCTTTGTCCATTGCAAGGAATATCTAGTGTTTTTTTTTTGCTTTTATGCACCGTTTGTAGTCACCACAGGCTGTATGTCTGAGTTAAGGAAATAAACCTCAGGTAACAACTTATTTGGCAGGTTATTCCTAGGCTTACCAAACTTCACTCCCAATTTTGTTCTGTCTAAAGCTGCCTTCTTGTTTTTGTTTTTCATTAGACTCTCCCATCTCCTTTCTTTTTTACAATCTCTGCTGCTAGAGGTTTCTCAGGTCAAACAATATCAAAAGATGTAGTTTGATGGCGTTGAAGTAGCGTGGGATCATGGGAGTTGTTATCTTCATTGTTAAACTGGTGGTTGTTTCTTTGCTGATTTAAAATCTGACGTGATTCAGGCAGCAATTATGTTCACGGATGAGGTAATGTATTAAAGTTTGATTTGCTTTACGTTTATTCACATTTGCGACTTCCTCACTCTCTGGCGTATCCCGCATTTCCCTGGAAATTAGGGCAACGAGAGGAGGTAAAGTGACAAGCAACCCAATGAAAGGTTACCTTGAATAATATTACAGATTCCTCTCGGTTTAAACATTGTTGCGAACATTTGGAATAACGTAACAGTCGTTTTTAGACATTTTAAATGCGTAAATGTTACGTTATATCTTTAACATACTTGTCACAGTTTCAGGCAGTCATCCTGAAGTTTAAAGACATTTTACAAGAGCTGTCAAATCAAGACAGCATGGAGTCCTGTTCTTCATGTTTGGCAGTCTGTATGAGTGTGTTGCATGTGTGTGCTTCTCTGTAGGAGTGTAGGCTGGAAGCGTTCAGAGTGAGATGAGAGTTTTATGAACAGAGGTGTCTGGCACTCTGTACACAGACGAGCACTGTTGAGTGCCAGCAGTGATCGGTGTCAACCTTCAAGTTCTGCTGCAAAGGTGGAGATTGATGTCAACCACTAACACCAAGTTTAATCAAACTATTTGTTGACTTAAAATTTACCTTTAAAACATGTTTACTCTATAGGGGTAGAGTTGATGAATTATAAAACACAATTGTATAAATGCTAAAAAGCTGAAAGAAGGGTTAGAGAGGAACATAGCACAGTGAGCATCATGAGATTAAATGCCAAGAACAAATAATATCATACATTAAGTTGGTAGGAAGATATTTTCAGATTTTGTTATGGACTGTTTTTCAACTTTTAGAGGCAGCTGGACTCGAGAGATCTCAGGATCCCGCGTGAATCCATCTTGCTAGCCTTCAAGCTACGTGCTTGTGTGCTTACGGACCGTCCTTTGAGGAACTACTGGCAGCTATGGCGTGAGCTACGGTGTGGATTAAAGACTAGTTGTGTGTGAGAAGTGACAACAATGGTGGCTGCTAAAGAGGTTAGTGTCGATGCTGCTAACATCAATCATATGGGAACCGGAGAATATTTCTTCATGAAAGAAGAGCAGAGAAAGGCTGAAGGCTTTTCTCTATGGAAACAATGTTTTCGCTCTTCTCCCGACTGGTTTAGATGAGAGTTGGACTATGTTATATGGTTTACTGATCTGATTAGTTGAGAAGTATGGCTGATAGACAGTGATAGACAGATGGTTCATCCAATCGAGTACTTTTTGAAAGTGCCTGTCTTTTTCAAAAGAATTTCCAACAACGACTTTCCAGATGATTCTGTGTAACAACATCTTGTTCAGTCAGGTTAATTGATGCCGCGGTAAATCATCGACAGACCATAAAAGTTGAATATAAACCTAATGAAGTCATCAACCATGAATGATCAGCATTTCTCAATCATGTATCTCAACAGTCATAGATAGATAGATAGATGGATAGATGGATGGATGGATGGATGTTTTGATATTCAGCTTAAAAACCTATTTATTTACGCTGTCATTGTTTAGTCTTGTTCACCATTAGGAAAGTGACCCAGTCCCTTCTTATCTTTTGTGATTATGAGTTGGTCAATAAGCATCAGCGCGAGTTCACAGTCGTTTGGCTGAGTGACTGTAAGCAAATACGATTGTCTGCCATGTTTACTGGAGCGTTGGTTGCAGCTGAGCAGTGTTGCTGTTCCTTGTTCCTGCTGTTGATACACAAGATAAACATATTGCTGCTTCTATTAAATTATCTTAATCCGCACTTAATCTGAAATTATCTTCCTACTTTATATACCAGCTACTTTTAGCATACTCTATGTGTATAACACTAAAGAAACTCAATCAAATGTTCAGATCGATGTTTTATATCATTTGAAGACTAAATATATTGAGCTTTTGCTATCAGGGAATCCAATGTGGTCTCAAGACACATTTTACAGACATCTAGATGCTCAGTTGCTATTGCTCAGTATTTTGTCTTATGTTATCATCATTGTTGTTGCCTGTGTTTTTAGATATTGCCCCACTGTGACTAGTATATAAAAATACGTATAGCTGGTTATAATTATTAACATTAAGGTTGTGTCCTGTTTTTTTCTATTTATTAAATCAAATTCAACATTTCTAAATGTTTTCCAATTTCCACTTCAATACCTTTTTGGTTGCATTTTCAACAGTACACACCTACCAGCTCTACCAGGTGTGCTAACACTTGTTTTGTCTATTTCTTTAGTAAAAAAAAATCATTCCAACATTGACAGAGAAAGCTGTTCACTTTTATAATGACATTAAAAGTTGAGAAATATAGTCAAAGTCTCAAGGCTACTCCACAGGCCAGAAAGCATAAATCAGCGGTGAACTGCTGCCTCACAAAATTGCCTTAATGAAAGTTTATGAAGTGCTCGAAGGCATTTGATTTTTTACGTGGCCAATATCAATGAGGAAAATTAAAACTATGCTTATCTCGTTGCAGCATACTAAATGGTTTTCTTTTCATTTTGGAAAAACTATTTACATAGTCATTATCATAATACAATTAGCAATCTGAAGCCACTTGCCAATTCATCCATGTTTGGACTTTCTAAATCCAAACTCAATTAACTTCTCAGTCAGCAAACCCTGAGAGCAGTATTAACCAGATTACTGACAATTAAAAAAGGACAAGCTTTGTATAAAAAATACTTGGATTTTTTAAGGAAACAATGGATAATAATAATTTCATCATCATTTTTATATCACTATTATTAAAGAGTCTTTAAATGTATTTGGCACAATCATCACCTGCTGTTATATGAATAGGTCTGTACAATCCACAACCAGCCCTGTGGTTATGAGAAACTAACCAATGATGAAGGAGTTAAGAAGCCCTCGAAAAAGAGCAAAAGATGGTTCCGTTGATAGTCAGTGAGAAGAATATTCTGCTGCATGACCAATATCAAATATTCAGTATAATAACTGACTGCTCATATTGTGGGGAAATAGAAATAGAAATATTGTGATTGTTCACCATCCTTTTTACTCCTTAGATTAATGTTACAGTAGTTTGCACTCCAACAAGTGAAAGACGCTGTTGCCTAGTAACAGCCAAAACTATCATCCTTGGAAATATAAGATGTAATGTGGGTGTTTAACTTTTACTTTGCTTAGCTCATTCTGGTGGAAGCTGAGGTTTAATTCATTTTCCATCTCTACCCTTTTATCCTCTGCTTTCTATTGCTAAGGAAGTCGGACACAGTTTCAATTCATTCATTTCATTTTGCATGCAAAACATATAAAGAGCTGGAGTGCCTTGGTAGCTGAATGGTTGCATGTCATACCCCCGTCTGTCTGCCCACATTTCCTGTCTGTCTTTTATTGTCATACAGTTCAATAAAGGTGAAATTGGCCAAAAATATCTTAAAAAACAACATATGGAGGGCTTATGTTATCGAATAAATTACCCAACAATATAGCCAAGTGCAAGTAATTGATTGATAGATTAATGGACGGAAAATTAATTGCCAACTATTTGTTTTTATAATTTACATTGACATACATTTACATGGCTTCTCAAATGTGTCATCATTTTGAGTACTGTGCTGTTGGACAAAATGAGCATTGTGAATGTCTCATTTCGGGCTGTGGGTAATTGGGATGGTAATTCTCACTATTTTCTGAATTTTTACAAACTAAACAATCCATCGATTGATTAATTAAAAAGATTATAATTAGGAGATGTATCTATTTTGACAATGCTCATTAGTTGCAGTCCTTAGTTAAAAATGAGCTCCACCTCAACCACTATGACAGCTTTTATACTGATGCATGAATAATAATACTCTAATATATAATAGGATAACTGTCACATGGGCCATTTGTCTGGATTAATTCTATCTAATAAGTAGATTTACATACTCACATACTTTTATTTAAGTAGCTTTTTTTTGCTGCTGTGTTGGTGTCTTAATATCCTCAGTTCTATCCAGATTGCATCCCTGCCCAGTATTTTTAAAATAGCACATGCTATCAAACCAACCAGATTTCTCCTGGTGATGTTGTAATTTAGCCTTAACCTGCATTAATACAGACCTTACTGTACCATAATGAATGATTTTAACACTTATAGACAGACAAATACACACAAGCTTTCAACTTCCACAGCTCAACCCCCCCATTCCTCACCATGGCTAGTGGCACGATGCCACCCAGGTCCTGTGGTGCCAGCCGGATGAGGGTCGGCACCTCACTGGTAAGGGTGCGGGCGAGCGGATACTCCACCTGCCATGTCACCTCCCTTCCGCCCTGAATCACCATCAGCCCGTTCACCTCCAGGTCCACCTGCAGCACTCGCTGGTAGCCTGCTGCCTCCACTCTGCAAGGGGAGAGAGGGGAGAAGATGTGTGTCAGGAGTGGATTTAGATAAAAGATAAGGGGGAATTAATTGCACATTTTAATCAGGTGTTAAGATTTATTTATATTTTATTTTAGCGAGCAGACGATGCTTCCAGTTTATTACACGCAGATGTTGTGTAAGGATATGCTATTTCTCCATAAAATGTAAGCAAACGTATCCCTCATCTCACAATCTGATATGAAACTAATGGCAGCACTATTGAAATTCATTCTCACATCCGCACAGAACCATGATGTTGGCAAAAAAAAGCAATTTATTTTTCTTCTCGCAATATGGAGCTTCTCTTGCAGAGATTGCCAGGGCCGAGCAAATAATTTTCTCTCAGCTGATGGAGATGCAAACAAAGCAGAAAGAACAATGAATGGAAAATAAAATCCTCCAAACTTATTTGATTTGCTGACTGCTAGGTTTGATCAAGCTTCCTCTCCCTCAGGTGTTCTCTGTCACAGACAAAACTTGATGCAACACCTTTTCCAACAAGAACACAGATACACATGCTGTATGAAAAATACAATTTGCACTTGGGGATCTAGAAATGGCTCACAGAACAAAAAATTAAAGGCAGTTCCAAGAGGCAATAGATGTATGTGTTTTAGGCTTTAGTATAAAGTTGTACCATACTCTTTTTTTTTTTTTTTTGTGCTGAGCAGTATGTTGTTTGGTTGTCACACAATTAAAGCAGGGCTGGAGAGAGCCCAAATTGAGCATGAGGAAGGGGGGGGGTAAGATCCAAGGTTTTCCTTGAACATATTTTGGCCCCAACTCCCCTCTTATGTGTTCGCACTTCAGATGCTAGCCTCACTTCAAAGTGCAGATTTAAGGATCCACTCTGGTAGGAAAGTGTAAGGGAGAACATTTTTGGAAGCTAAAAATCAGTGTGGATGAAAACAGCTTGAATAGCAATCCTGGTTACACTTAATATGTTTCCAGATACCAGTGAGAAGCTTTGGCCCCGGGGTGATCACAGGTGAATATCTAGGTGTGAATCTGGCCACACAGGGAGCGCTGTTGAGATACAATTCTGTTTGAACACAGAGGAATTATACAGGTACTGTAGTGCAGCACAGTCTGTGGTGGTTCTTTGTGATATTGTGGAACTGGAAAATCTTCCTGTGACTCTCTTCTTTCCAATTTTTACCCTAAACCGCATGCATAACACTTCTTTCCCACCAGTAAATTATTTTTCAACTTACACTAAAGGATAAGGGTGGTGGAAATTCATATTTTTCTTATTGTCAACAAATCTCATGACATAAACAATTTCCATAGAGCTCCATTGTGTATTGAAAAACAATTCTGTTGCACCTTTGCACTGTGAGACATTATTACTCATTCTGATGAAGGCCTGTGTAGTTTATTTTCAGTCGATGGCACACACACTTTCCTGCTGCCTTTAGATACTCAGTAGAGCAAATGTGTGGTAATGCACGAAAGAAAATAGTCCCCAACCAACAATATTTACTCCTGATTTAACAATATTTGCTAAAAACTACAGTGCCCAGCTGTGTAAGGAAATTGCCGAGCCTTTCAAAAAAAATGAAACTATATATTTGTAACCTGTTTTTAAAGATTTATGTCTTCAGTAGGAACAAGAGGCGTGGGACTGAGCACCACAGGCGTTATTGGGAAGTTGTCGGGAACCATTATAAGACTTGATGTCTTTTCATTGGATTCTTAAATTATCATTATTTTTTGGCAGGAATTTTACACCTTATTAGAAAGCGACAGTAGAGAACTGACAGAAAAAAAGGCTGAGATATCCTACAAGAGTCTAGTCGGATTTGAACTGGGAATGTTGCAGTTCAGTGTCTTAACCCCTTTGGCCAATGGAATGTTGACTCTAAAAATATTGAATAATGCCTCATCCTTTAATATTAAGCTTTTCATTATACAATCTAGACATCATGTCCCTCTTTCTGCAAAAAGATGTATGGTAATAGACATTTCTCCCACTGTGTCATTATCCTCTCTCTCTATCTCATCTCCCCCCCACTGTCCCTACTTTAACATTTATATTTGAATAAGTTTAGAATTCTATTCTATCTCTTCTAAATATATTAAAGTTCTATATTTACATGTTTGGGAATGGTCTTTTTCTACTGTCCAAATAACCAAGTGCAAAAATGGATTAATAAAAACATGGAAAATCAAAAGCATTGCTAAGTATTCTGCAAAATGACTTTTGATTACATAACCAAGAGGAAAAAACACATAAGTGTAACATTAGAAACACTATGTTTGCTCTTTTTTAAGCATGCTTTCAACGCGGGGTGCCGTTTATATATTTCCAGGCTCATTTTTTGCTCTTTGAAATCCATTTCCTTTTCATCAAAGTTAAGCATCAAAAGCAAAAACGGAGAAACTGCTGAGAGCAAACATCTCACACAGCTCATATTGCAGATTGTACTTTCTATTTGCTTACCCATATTAACTGATTTGTTGAAAAATCCCTGCTTTCTGTTGTATGGCTGTGGACTGTGAGTATCTGCCACTCGCACAAGCTCAAGTCCATCTATCACTCTCTTTTCCTTTTCAATTTCTCTCTCAGACAAAAACTCTGAGTGCTACAGAGCCGCAGTAGGATATCCTCACTCCCCGACAACACGCTGGGCTCAGGGGTAGTGACTGCAGTGATTATGTGGTTTACGCTTATGGTGTACAATTACAGCCAAATCAATTATCTGCAATAGTCGTGCGTTACAATGAAGCTGCAAACAATTAGGGCTTTAGTGCTGAACACTACAATACAACTCCCCTTCACTCCCTATTCAATATGTCTTTTTCTGTGTTGTCTTTATTATTGCGCATTTTTCTGGTCTTTGCTCTTTATTTTCATCTTCTTTCCTCCCCCTCTTAAACTTAATCCACTGGCTCACCTGCAGTGTTATATTGCTTCCAATAGAGGGCGGTTTGCTCTCTTCCCTCACCCTCACCCCCTTTCAACCAGTGTGTGTTTGGGATGATGAATGTCTGCAGCCCACCGGTTGGAGAGGTCAGACCGCTTCCTCCATGTCTCATTAGAATCATAACCGCACCGCGTGCCCTTTCCTCGCCGCGATTACCATACAATTCAACACACTATCACTTTTCCTGCCCTGACTCGTGGATGGGGGATGAGAGCAAGAGGTGGACGCTGAGACAGAGACAAAACACAGAGCGGAAACAGGGTTAAAAGGGCTACAATAAAAGAAAAAAAGTCTACTAGGATCACAGAACTGAATGTGCCACTCAAAAAGCGACAATGCCCCAGCATCGTAGTTTGTTGTGGGGAAATGAGGTGGAAAATCGGTCATGTCATTTTGAGGAGGCTTTTGAGGTATCTCCAGTTGTCAGTCCTATTGTTGGGTTTGAAAGCACAAACAACTCAGAGGAAAAAATGCGCGCACTTTCAATTCTGTAAGATACATTTCAAACACACCCTTGTAGTAACAAAGGGACTCTGAGTGGAAAAGAAGCAGCGTAACAGGAAAAAAAGGGAAAAAAATGACAAGAAAGAAATTCCTTTTGTTCACAAATAGGAAAATAAAAGTGGAGCTAAGGTACACAAAAGCCCTGTTAAACATGCAGCCATGTTTTCCTCTTTTCACTCTTAACACTTCTGTGGATATCCAGCTCTGAGAAAGGTAGTGAAAGAAAACTCTGCTGTCTGTTTTAGAGACCCGAGGGGGTTCCTTTCATGCACAGCAGTGATTTGGTTAGCACTGACAACAATGATAGATCAAAGACCTGAATCTATTTCAACACAGTGAATCGACAGCGAGTCCAACAATAGAAGGAGAGGTGGGGGTGAGACAATTTGTGTGTGTCTGTACAGTATGCGTTTGTATGCACTAAGATTAATACCTCAAACAGCTCCATTCAGGTAATAGTGTATATATCCTTTTCCATTATGGGAGCCAGAAGACAATGGGATTTACTTCCTGGACGACACGTTCAGCTCGTTTTTCTCAGCCAGTGTGAGGAAATGCTGTAAATAAACCCGCTGGCCCCAGAAAAGGTTGGCCATAAATGCACTTTTTTGTGTGGTCAGATTTCTGTGGCGGATTTTTCTCTGCCAATGAAATATTGTTTGTTTGATGCACTGTAGAAAGGATGTTTGTGACCCCGCACACGCTGTTTTCCTTGTGTGTTGGCTGTGAGTCAGATGACACCAAATTAAAAAGGACTGCATGAAAGTGCACCGCAAGAAAGATGTGTTAAGACGCGTACCAAGTAACAGGCAATGACTGAAGACATTTTTCATATTTTATATAACTCACTATGTGTGGCTGTTAATCTAACTGGAGTCTATGCTGTAGCCTGTTATATGGTCTGCTGTTGGCAATCTTGATATTTTCCACTAGATATATGTGTTTTGTTACTTAACATTTTTTTAATTCGATTTTTTATTTTGATCACTTGTCTAAAAAATTGCGAATGGCCATTACAGTTTCCTAGAACCCAAGGTGATGCCTTGAGGTTTTGCCCAAAAAATAATCCAAACCCTGCAGATATTCCGTTTAAAATGATGTAAAAAGAGTGAAAAGCAGCACATCCACACATTTAAAAGACTGAGATCTGTGAATGTTGATGGCATTCAAGCTTAAATAAATAAATGACTTAAAAGATGAATTGATTATCTAAATTACTGAATTTTCTGTTGATGAACTGTTTCAGCACAACTTAATTTCCTTTCAGCAAGTAGACTTTTTCGTGTAGACCTGCTGGCAACAGGAAAATATAAACAGATGGAGAAATTGAATGGACAACAGAATGCACAGTTGCCTTCTCCATAACTGAATCCTGACATGTGAGACCAGCAGTAATTCAACAAAGTAGGTGTGACAGTGGGCGGAATGAGAAACTCCTGCTGGCCATCTGTCTTCACATAAAGATCCATCTCCTGCTTTGATCTCTCCTGTGTTAGCCAAATCTTCCTTTTCAAGTCTAGAAAAAGGACAGTTAAATCCCTTTTAGGA